GGGGGTTTGTCTTTTAGATGGTAAACTAAATAGGTTTTGAAGAGATAACCTGTTAAAGGAATATGAGAGGATTAAAGTTTCAATAAGCCAATGAACTGTAGTATTAAAGAAGTGATAGTATATTTTTTGACTAAATTATACTTTACTCCTAAACTATTACCCTTGTTTCACATTATTCCCTTAACTATATAATTTCTCACATTGTACCATAAAATATCAATTTTGTTTCATATTATTTTAATAAATAACGATAAACCTGAAAATTTTTCAAAAGAGGGTGGGAAATCCCAAAAAGCTTCTCGCCAAGTGTCTAGTGCCACTTTATGTTACCTCTTTTGCAACCAAATGGTTGTTGGGAAGAAAAAAAGGTTGGTTAGAGAAAAAAAATTTGGAGTTTTGGAAGAGCAAAGTCATGGATATGTATTTTTATTGATTTTTGACATACACATGTGCAATAAGCAATTAATCTTACTAATAAGTAGTTAAGTACACTATTTATTTAAAACTCCAAAATTTCCTTCTAATGACTTAAAAAACAATCTTCAATATTAAATCAATATTTTAAACAGTTATCCTTGATTCACATTTAATGAAAGATTTTTTTCCATAAAATCTGCAATTCAAATTTAAACTTGATATTACAACCATTTCTCACTCTCTTTCTCTCTCTCTCTCACACACACATTTCTTTTATTGCTGTAAAGACTATAGTTAATTTAATATTGAATGTTACTATGCATACTAATATTTTTTTGTCGTACAAGTTACTATTTTTTGTTGAGTATTTTATTATTTTTTTATGAGTATGTTACTATTAATATTGATTGTTACTATTTTTCTAAAATATTAATATTCAATATTACTTTTTTTATCGATAATGTTACTACTGTTTATTTTTTTTCAAATATTAATATACAATGTTACTATTTTTTGTGTTTAAATGTTACTATGAATATAAGTAGATATAAGAGAGATAATTTTAATGTTAGTCAAACTCCTAAAATTTAGGAGTTATTAGTTTTTAAATTTATTGTAATTGAATATAACTAATGAGGATATTTTGGACAGTAAAAATCAAAATGGACTTAATATTAAACAAGTTTTATCGATAGACTTATCACCAAATAAGTCCACAAAGGAGAATCGACCTTCAAGTTTTCATTTGTATGGTCTTTAAAATGGGCCTGCAATTTGGGCCGGTTTGTGTTTGTAAGTCTTTTTCAAAGTGGGTTTTAGTGTTTGTCAAATTTTTAGGAAAATTTGGAGGCCGGTCCCCCTAGATGAACTTGTTTGAAGATATGTCCTGCAAGAAAATTTATTTAGTTTGAAGTCCACTTTTTGCTTCTTTTACTTATATACCTTTATTTTGTGAAAAACCTCAAACGGCGTCAAACTTGCCGTTTGGTTTTCAAACTGAACTTTCCCTTCACTGAACTTCACATTCATTCCTTTCGGCAACCCAATAACTTTCCCCTACATCCTAGGTGATGAATCCGGCCATAAACCGCAAATCTTTCTCATTAGCCTTCTCTGAAAAACTCAAGAACTCAAAATTTACTTCAAATCGAATCTATTTCAAATTTCAAACTTGTTTAAAACAAGAAAACCGAAAATCGGTTTTACTGTTCAAGATTCATTAGCGAAAATCTATAGTTAATCTTGACATTCTTGAAATCTTCAAAAATCATTGGGATTCTTTAAAAATTTTAGAGGTACGTGATTTTACATAAACTTTGAAGTTTGTTTTAGGGTTTTAAAACATCATTTACACCCTATATCGTTCATAATGTCTAATTTTAAAAAAAAAAAATTTGAAAATAAATTGTGAGTTCTTGTTGCTATATAAAATAGTTGGGTATTGTATTTTTTTTTCATTGTGTTATACATTCGGAATTGATTGGTGTGGTGGTTTCTTTGGAATGTCAAATGTTACTGTGAGAACAATGTTCAAAATTTATTATCTTAATGTTGAACTCTTGATGTTATTGATATGTATTGAGTATCCTAATTAAACGATTAACATTGTGTTACCATTAGTCCATGACAATAACATCAATTTTTGAATTAATTTTTTACTATATTTTTTCAAAATTCGATGTTATTGTGCTTAATATGGCATTGGGGATGAAGCTGTTTATGTTACTATTACTTAATTAATGTGTTATATAATTAGTTGTGTAATTTGTTTGTTGCTTTTTTCGTTGTTCAAACAATTCAAAAATCATTGGTTGAAAAGTTCATTGAAACTTTTCAGGTTACTGTGTGATTTCATATTTTCAATGTATGAATTTGCTTGGGTACTGTGGGTGTTACTAAATTATTGGTGTTACTATTAATATGTTACTGATCAACTCCTTTGTGATTTTTAACTTTTTAATGCATCATATGTTGTTAATGAAAAGTGAAGGGGTTGTTGTTGATTTTAAGTATAAAATGAGAACTCAATGAATTTGCAATGGAATCACTCGTATATTGAAAAATGAAATTACTAAATTTTGTTTGTTTGTGTTACTAATTTAACCATTGACAGTGTGTTGCTACTAGGTTTTTTTTTAAAAACAAAAATTAATTTTTGAGTATTGTGGATATTACTGAAAAATTGATGTTATAAAAGATAGGTTACTGATGACAAGATGTTAATATTAGTATTACTGTGTGCAATTAATGTTACTGTGTAACTAACAGTCTCATAACAATACTTGCAATAAACTAGTAAGTTATCTTTCATCTGTTATAAACAATAAAACAAAAATAAAGAGAAAAATATAGAAAACCAAACATAATCAATTCTAATTCCAATAAATCAGCATCAGTAACATGAAAAAAGAAATTAGAACCTAATTTCAAAACAAAAAAAAAATAACTCTGGTAAAGAATGTCACGATGCGAATCNATGGACTTAAGTCAGTATATATAAATTTAAAGATGAACTTAACTCTTTATAAGTTCTTTTACCAGACTTATCTCAAAACAAGTACGTATAAAGGAACTCACCCCAATTTTCACAAATTTTTAAGCTCACGTCTGGGCTTTGTTGAATTGCCTGAAGATTTGGTATTCGGAGTTGACATGTGGGCTTGTACAGAGTGATTAATAGCATTTTGGCCCCTTAAATTTTTTAGAAATCTCACTTTGTCCTTGAAAATTTTAAGTCTTACATTACACACTCAATGCATCTCAATTTTTAGATATTTTTCAATCCGCCTTACTTGACCATATTGATGATTAATCGATTGTATGCCAATAATGCTCAATCTAATTTATTCTTACAAAATACTTATAGATCTCATAGCAATATTCATATATGAAATATTTTAAATTATCAATGTTCCAACACGGATTCATGCCCATATCTCTAACCTCAAGGACCAAACTATTCTCCCTTGAGACAACTTACTACTTTAAGATTAAGTCAAGCTAGAACAAATAAGAAAAAATGAAATCCAATCAACAAGTTGTTCTAGAAAGGTAAGATGACTGTCATTGACAAGCTGAGGAGAGAGTAAGAGTTACTACCTATTCTCCAAAAGGATGAATTTTTAAGATGCCCTCTAGCAATTGCTTGTAATATGAATCAATACTACAACACCATTAGATACGAGGAGTTTTGGTGTCTCTCATTTTACCATAGTGGTGTGATCGGTTAGTTTAATTGGAGTGAGAACATAGTAAGAAACAATGTTCTTACTTGCTCCCCAAGCATTGGGGTCACAGCTGATTCTTATTCTCACAAGGCACAGAAAGAACTTCGAGCTGGAACACTAGTTCATTAGAAGATGTTTATGACCCGGTTTATGAGGCTTCCATAGAAGTAAGAACGGCATAACCTGGTTCACGACTTTCCCATTATACGGGACTTTTTGGGTTTTTAAACCGGACATAATCAACTTTGTCGTATTATTTAAATTAATATAATTAAACTTCTTTTTTTTTTAGTTGGGATATTTAACTTTCCTTCATGACTGAGGTCGGGTAGCGAACTGCCCAATTTGCCAACTCCAACATAGAAGCGGGCACACGGTCCAATATGCATGATCTTTGTCAAGTTTAGGCTCATGAAACACTTCAGTCACATTTATTCACATGTTATACTAATGTATCTACTAGAGAGAGAGAGAGAGAGAGAGATGAACTCCATTCTCATAAACTAGAAGATACAACGGAAGGAGAGGAAAACGTATCCAAATACAAACCATGACTAAAAAACGAATACATAGGTAATAAGTATCCTAAACATAGATGTTGAGTACTATTTTCTGTCAGCGCAAGCCTGAANAACTAATGTATCTACTAGAGAGAGAGAGAGAGAGAGAGAGATGAACTCCATTCTCATAAACTAGAAGATACAACGGAAGGAGAGGAAAACGTATCCAAATACAAACCATGACTAAAAAACGAATACATAGGTAATAAGTATCCTAAACATAGATGTTGAGTACTATTTTCTGTCAGCGCAAGCCTGAATTTAGACCAAGACACATTAGGAATGAGCATGGAACCACTTATTTAGTATTAGTTTTGAGTCTTGATCGATCGCGAGGGACCATATTTACTTCTGAGCCTGCAGGGAAGCAAAATATAGCCAAAGAGTTAGCACTCTTAATCTGCCTTCTTCAAGAGAAGAAAGCCCGACATTAGGACAATAGGGATTTACCAAAAACATGCGCTTGTAGGCCTCAACAAGCAGTTTGGGATCACATTTTGTCTGCGTGTAAGCGCCAATCTTGTTCATCTCCTGCACAGGAATCTATGTTAAAATGTTGCTATTCAAGATCCAAGAACTTCGAAATTACAAGATTTCCAACGTATAGGAGGCATATAGTGATACATTTTAGTGGTCATGAACTTCTTCATAACAAGGTAGGAAATATGACCACTAAACTCTATGGAAATGGCATGATGATTGGAATTTATCAGAAATCCCTTAATATAAACCTGGTTCTTGCAAAGCTTCTTTTAATTGGATTATTGAATGTGTTGCTACTGCTCCCATGACTACAAAGCCCTTCAGGGAGGTCAGAAGAAGTAAACGTAGAAACCAATAGCCTGTATTTCACCATGCCTACTACCAGGCTAGCAGCCAACCATCCCTATGGTTAGAGCTTCCCCAAGGTTTTGCACATTCCTAAACATGAATACCTGAACCAAAGAGTTTATGACCTATAATATGCTGCAAACTAAAGCTTTTCTAGTAATAAACCCAGCAAAGTGGAAGCTTGTTTTTCACCATGTCTGTTACCAGACTCCCAAACAAAAAGAATATTATGACCTATATTATGCTCTACTCCAAACCTTTTCTCATGATTTAGGTTTGAAAATTGGGTTAACAACGAATCTAGCTCGTTACATACCTCCATGAATGCCGCAATTTTAGGCCTGCCTGACCTGATATCATAGCTCCAAACATCTTGGAAGAAGATTTGATGCCTTTCAAGGAAAGGAGCATAGACAATGTCCACCTGAAAATCAAATGTATCATTGAGAACTTGAAGAGAATTCCAAAAATAAATTCATAAGCACACACAAGTTTGCATTGCTTGTTTGTCAAAACAAGCTTCCAAAAATATTTGCTGCTCTCATTAGGCAATGAATGCCAGTTTGCTTATGAAATGTGTGACCATTCAGAGCACCATTGAGGAAGATTGACGACTTACCAGACTGAATTTTTGGCCGAGGAAGAAAGGCCCATCATCAAATTTATGAAGAGCTGTTTCCAAGTAATCAAAAGCAGCACCTGATGCAGGTAACAGAAACTGATTAATTTCATATACAAGCATTACCATTTATTGCATGATGAATCTCACATGCAAGGTCTTAATCTCACCAGCTTCTTTCACTGCGTCTCCTTTAAATGAAGTAAACACTCCTTTGACAAATGTATCAGAGTAGGATATAAGCTCTTCAGCAAACTCTTTTTTGGCGGGGTCCTGCATTATTATATTGTCAACACTTCCTCTCTGAAATTTTTTTTGGTGTGTCTGTGTTGTTTTTTTTTTTTTTTTTTTTTTTTTTTTTGGGGGGGGGGGGGTTGTCAAACAAATTTCACATCTTACATCTGGTAAAAGTGCAGGTCCTTCAAAGTGACTGTCTACATATTTGATTATATCTAAACTTTCTCCAATGATTTTGTTCTCATGTTCCAAAGCTGGAACCTGTAGAAAAGGAAAAGTCAGGAATGAACACCAAGGGAAGATCATGCATCTGAATAAGGTTTTATGCTCCTTATGCTAAAATTACTCAAATGCTTGGATGAACATGCGAAAAGGATCTACAAGCAGTTATTGCCAAAATAAATTCATCAATAATAGCCAAGATGGTGATTCAGAGAGGAAATATTCGCTACAATTTAAGAAAAAGAATTCAACGGATGATAAAGCTAATTATCGGGAGGACGAGGACTCATAATCAAGTTTCTCGGGTTAATTGATTCAACAGTGTCAGCACATGGGTCCCCAATCATCACGACGTATGAATAAGTTTCATATTACAAAAGAAAAATTGCCCTCCAATCAACTGATTTCTAAATATCCCTACCATTAACATTACTATCACCATCCGAGCACCTTACACGCCAACGAATATATTTAGTAACACAAAGTCCACATCCTCTCAACCACTTTATTTTTTATCATACTAAATTGAAGCATAAGCTCAGAAACTTAATTCCAAAGTCAATACTGCATAAAAAATGCAAAGGGCAGGGCATGTGAAATTAGGTGACAATTGCCTTTCAAGTGACGACAATATTGGTGACTGAGCTTATAACATCACTGAGATAGAATTCAACACAGCGAGGATTCACAAAATTATAAAGAGGTTTGTTGTGGATGAACGTAAGAACAGAGACAAGGACACAATCAGCAAAAATTGAGAACAACTTCCCTTCAAAGAGTTAAAATAGGAAGCACACATTCGTCGGGATTGCAACTTCGACCCAAGTGATCAAATATTTAGTTAACCATAAAGACTTCTTCACTCATATCAATGGTTTTCAGAACAAAATATGAGAAGTGACAATCAAACAAGTCCATCCAAATACTTAAATATATAGGAACAAAACAATACCTTGTTTACATGGTAAACTTTCTCTTTGTACCAAGCGGGTCTGTTTTGAAGGTCAATAGGAACCAATTTGATCTTGTCCTGTAATCCCTGCATTCCAATATTCAAACAATACTAAGCCAATTTCCTTCAGTCAAAACAAATAATGAAGTTTCTTCACTAAATTCCAAAGAAATCAGCACTGGATTGCATATTCCACCCACATCTTATATAGCATCTCCTAATAATGTATCGTATTGTAGATTTCACAAACTGCCTAAAGAAAACTACAACCCCAAAACACCCAAAATACACACACCCACACGCAGAGAGGATATGAACAAAAAAGTTGCGATTGCGAAGAGAAGTAAAATCAAACCTTATAGTTCCTCACAATCCACGCACGCTGCGCAAATGGACACTGGTAAGTTACGTATAGCCTTCAAAAAATAGAGCCAATTTTTTCAGATTGTGCGAAGATCACACACACAACGCCCAAAATCGAACACAAGATACGATACATATCAATGGAAGCCAAACAAAACTAAATTTCCCAGAGTGAGAGATACCTTGTAGTACCGTCAAAGAGAGCTGGTGGTTTAGAAGAAGAATCCAAAATTGGAGGAAGAACCTCTTGAACACATCTGCAATCAGGTAAGCATAGCCAACAACATTAACACACGTACATACAGAATCTCTACTCTACACAGACATAAATATGCACATATATATATATATAGAGAGAGAGAGAGAGAGAGAGAAAGAGAGAGAGTGGGGGGAACGTACGGAACAGCCATTAATGTTATCGTGGTAATACAAGGTTGAAGCTTTCGATTGTTGAAGGTTGAGTTAGAAAATGAGGATGGTGATCAAAAGGCTTTATAGTCGAATAGAGTGACGTGAAAGGCCGCTCACCGATTGCTGTGAAATATTAATTCACTATTTTTTTTCCTTCATTTGAATAATGTGGATATTCAATCAAAAAAATAATCGATCAGCCGCCTTATACGTCACTCGTCATGTCATTCAATAATTTTTTTTGGTCTCTTATTTTAATCGGTGTAACATTATTGTTAATCTTTGTTTGGTACGTAGGTTTGGAAGAATTTTGAATCCTGGATTAGAGATTAAACACCCATAAATTTATGTTTGACAACTATATATTTAGTCTAGTATTTGAAATCCAACCCGTTATAAAACTTAAGTTCATGGGTTTTATGAAACCCAAAGAGATGAATTTCATATGTGGGTTAGTAAGTTTAACATACAAATAATATTTATATCACATATATCTCATATATTTTAGATATATATATATCAATTAATTTAGGAACACAATAGTCATTTATATATAAATATATTATTATTATAGTTATATATTCCTACGCATATTAAATATGAATATGAACAACATTAAATATTGAGTCTTATATTTGAATCTAATTTTTGAATTTGGAGAAAACAATCCAAACTCATCCCAAAAAAGATATCAAATAGCCCCTTAGGGCATCTCTAACTCTTACTCAAATTTAAATTTAAGTAAAAATGTATAAAAAACCTACTCCAACCCTTGACTCAAATTTATACTAAATTAAGAAAAATTTATTTTTTTATTCAAATTAAGAGAGACTCAAATTTTTAATTATAAGATTTTACTATTTTTTAAAGATTTAATGGTCATCATTACTTCTTTTTAAATTTGGGTCTTTTATTCTTTAAATTTGAATTTGTTCATTATAGTATTTTATATCAAATTAAATTTTTTATTCAAATATTAATTTAAATTTAAATAAAAATTTAAGTTATAATCGAGGATTTTCTTCTATTTGATCTTGTGGGAAAAGTTTAAGTCGCGAGCAGTGACGTAACGACAGGGATATATGAGAAATGTTAGGATACATGCCGGCCTATAATAGCTAGACGAGATGATTTGGTCGTCACCCGTGACGAATAAATGAATTGTATTCTTTACGTTTCTAAATACTAGTTAAAATATATAATAATTGGTCCTAATCCGTACTTAAAGGCACAATAAATATAAAATTTGAGCGTCCAAAAAATTGATCCTAGTATATTAATTTTTTCAAAATATATTAATTATAAATTAATTAAATATTAAATAATTAAATATTGATATAAATAAATGATTAAATATTGATAAAAATAAATGATATGATATTTTTAGGGAGGAAATATATAAATGATTAAATATGTGATAAAAATGAGTGATGTAATTTGACGTTTGAGTCTGATAAAAGGATGATAGGTGAGATAAGTGATTGATGATGGTTTTGAGGGAAAAAATATGACTGAGATAAAATTCAAACACACTCCTGTTTTATTATATAAATTTGTCGTTTAAGATTTTTGTACAGAAGTTAAAGAAACTATTAAACAACTCTAATATAAATAAAAAATAATTATACAAGACTTAAATATCTTTATTCAATACATATTCAGAAAGAAAGTAATATAAAAAGTGCGTTTGAGATGACTTATAAAATCCTATAAATACTTTTTCAATAAGTATTTATTAAAAGTGTTTTATAAAAAAATACTTTTATTAAATAAGTATTATTTGGATATTCAAAATAAAAAATACTTAAATTAAAGTATTTTATAAAAAATATGTTTAGATGTAAAAATATTTATTTGTGGCACAATTGTTAATAACATTGAATGCACATATTCAAACATACACTACATGTACATTAATACACAAAAATATCATATTAATAAAAATATCATACAAAAAAATTATATAGTCCAAGTATTAACCACCTCTGTAACACACAATTCAAAAAAAAATTTATGACTCTACAATTCCAATTCGCCTACACGGACGTACGGACAATGAAATCAAGAATTGCTGGAACACCCATCTGAAGAAGAAGCTAATTCAGATGGGTTTTGATCCAATGACCTCGAACCGATATCTTCTCAAGCCTTCCTCATCTCATAGCTTTGGCTAATCTCAAAGAGCTCATCGAAAGCTCTTTTTTTTTTTTAAAAACAAAAATAAAATTTTATTTATTCACAAATGCCAAACCAGTACAAGAAGCAAAAGGTAAGGCACGGACGCCTTCCATAACAAGAAAAAACAAAAGTCCAACAAATCATTCAAAAAAGACTTCAGCAGCATCCTCCAAAAAACTTCAACAGCAACAAAGTTTGCTAACCCATTCCAGACTTAAGCCTTCAGGAAAGCAGCTCTTCCCAGTCATCTCCAGCAACTTCCCACCAAGTCTGTTTCAAACAAATCAACACTGCTGTTAAGGCAAAACTCCAAAACTCCCAGAACAGCCAACCATACCAACATAGTAGATAGACTGAGACAAAAAACCCAAATCTAACACTCATAAATGCAATTATCTGTACCTTAAGTTGACTAGAAATACTTTTGTCAGATAAATAAAGCAGAAGCTACTAAAAATTGAACAGAAAATGCCAAAGAAAAAATTGGTAGAGAATTTTAAAGATAAAAACTCACCTCACGGCAGAGGGGGCATTTTTCCTTGGGATCTGCTGTCTTTAACCCGTCCACTATGGTCACTGAACCAGACTTGCAAGCACACATGTAGCAGAAGATATGACCACAGGTGAGAGATACTGGATCAAATATTGTATCTTGTTACAACAAGTCAAATTAGATCAATGGGTTGGCTTATAGAAACACCTAGCTATGTCAATCAGAAATTTGTACATGATTTGGAAGCTGATTAAAGTGCTGAAATTTAAAAAAAACAATGATTGCCAAAGACCTCATGGATCCCAAACCAAAATGCTTTAGATATGTTTATGTGATAGTGTAACACCATGCTAAGAATACCCATATATTTATGAGACTAAGAACTTTTTTTTTTGGATAATATGTTCATTCAGGAGGGTGTATTATTGACAGGAATTTCTTATGTTGTTGTAGCTCTTCCTAATTCTTGGCACACAAGACTAAATCTTTATCAGGTACGAACTACTAGTGGTTTCCAATATCTTGCATTATCTTTAACTTAATAACTTAACTTTGTCTTGAAAGTTTATCACAATCGATACTGAAGTTTCCCTAACTATGGAAATTGACTTGTGGGAACAACAAATCTAAAAAGGCCACACTTCAAAGCCCTTTACAATATGTGAGGTCTATTCAAAATCAAGCCAATGTATAAAGAAAAGTTGGGAAACAGGGGCAGGAGTGGAAGTGGAACACCATGCAAGTGATGCAAAGCTTTTCACGATTAAAATTTCTGATAATCAGACTTAACTTCAAGAATTCATTTTCAATATTGGAAAAGGAATAGTATTAAACCTAGAGGCCACAATCCCAAACCGATGTTTTGAGCAACCAAATGGACAAATAAATGCAGTCAAATGCTTAATCAAAGTTTTGGCATCAACGATAAATAGAAGAAAATTTGCGGATCCACCAAACCTATAGAACTAGTCAATGTCAATCTTGACAGTAACAAAGAACCCATGTGCAGAATAGAGATCTGAGTGAGTATAGCCCCTGAAAATCAAACACTAGCAACCACCTATCTTGCAGCCATCAGCTATGTGAAGGCAGTCCAAACTGCAAAAGTCTGCTTGGCCATAAATCAAACAGTTGGTGGGCAGTGGACAATGGACAATACAAAGGTTATCACAGATCAACACAAATCATAAAGATATCATAGATCTAATATGTAATGAACTCCCATAGTAATCATGAATCAAATAAAAATATTTTTTTCCCAAAATCATTCAACGATTTCCACAAATTTCGTTATAAATGTTACCCAAAAACCTCAAACGAAATTATAGAAACACACAAGAAATCAAACAAAAAATATAATTGTTGCTTTGCGATAATGGACCTGAGAAATAGAAGCTATAAAATCGCTTAAAATGAAGGGGTTGTACCTCTATTGCAGTGGATCTTGATCAACAATAAACCAAGATCTTGATCAACAATAAATCAAAGATACGTGACAGAGGAGGCTACTTTTGGCGTCGTCGATGCTAATACACTCTCGAGCGTCGTCGGTGGTCGTCGTCGGCTGTCGATGGTTGGTGTCGTCTGTGGGTGTCGGGGAGGCAAGGGTGCTGGCTGATCGTGAAAAAAC